GGGGGGGGGGGGCGGCCGGAGGCTTTTTTGCCTGGGGTGGCAAAAAAGCCAGAGCCTGCCCTGGTGAAAGTAAGATAAAATACTTACCAGTACAGGGACCTGGCTCTGGGCCCCCAGAAGGGGCGGGGCCTCAGGCAGAAGGGGCAGGGCTGGGGGTTGGCCTCCCCCAGCCAGCCCTTCCACGCTGCCTGGCCTGTGCCGCCCGGGGCTCCGGCCACTGCCATGGAAGCAGCAGCCGGGAGCCCTGGGCCCTTTTAAATCGCCATCGGTGGCTCAGGTGTGGGGTGGGGGCAGTGATGTTAAAGTGCTTTAATGGGGGGCTGTGTATGGGCTGGTACCGGAAGCCACTTCTTAACAGTACACCGTACTGGCCCACTTTCACCTCTGTTAAAGGGTGACTTGAGTACAGTTTATAGCAGTGGTTCTGAAACTTTTTTTTTTTTTTTTTAGACCCCTTTAAAATTGCTGAGGGTCTCGGTAGACCACTTAATGATCTTTCCAAATGTTGTTTGTACCGTTAGCTAACTATTGTAAAGTGCTTTGGATAAAAGTGCTATATAAAAAAACCTTAATAATTAACGTTTTTTTGTTCTACAAATAAAAGCACACAACTCATATTTTAATATCAATAGTCTTACCTTTCTAATTCAATGGATGTTCCCTCTCTTCCTCTGCCGCGGCAGCCCCTGAGATGGGGCTGGGAAGGAGGGGGGGTCTCTCCCCGGCAGCCACAGCCCTGGGGAAAGTCACCTCTTTCTCTGGCCGCGGCAGCCCTGCACGTCCCAAATTCACCCCATCCCCTCTTCTCAACCCCACTGCCCCTCCCACCTACTTCCTATACCCCAAGGCCACCACCTCACCTTACATGTGCATCTTCTCCAGGGTCCAGGCAGCTAATTAGAGTAGCCATATCTGCACGGCTCCACTAATTAGGTGGGTGGCCCTTCATTCTCTTGTGTGTGGCTGCCTAGGTGTGCACCTTAGCGGGAACTATCCGTGGACCACCTGAATGGAGCTCACGGACCACTGGTGGTCCATGGACCACAGTTTGAGAACCTCTGGTCTATAGGTATCTATCTACACAGGGAAGAAACATTTAATAAATGTCTCTTCAATCTGGCTGAGAAAGGTATAACATGATCTAATAGCTGGAAGTTGAAGCTAGACAAATTCATGCTGGAAATAAGGCATATATTTTTAATGGAGAGAGTAATTAACCATTAGAACAATTTACCAGGTACCACAATTCAGTGTGCAACTGCAGTAAATGAACACAAATTTATTTCTAAAATTATCTGCACCTCTGAAAACCTGGCTTTGTAATGAAGAGAAGTTAAATGATCAAGAATGGACAGAACTAAATAAGAAAATTTTATCCCGAACTTCAGATATAGCTCTAGAAAGACGCCCTGGAGAATCTTCAATCTTGTGTTAAACATCTTTCTCAGAGAAGATGAAAAGGCTTAACTTGTTCAGCGTGAAAATCTATTTCAAAGAGTCTTTTCTTAGCAGGTGGAGATTATATTAGCCATTTAGCTTTCCTAGTGTAGGCAAACTTCAGCATCTAGTTTTCCAAAAGTCGCATACATTTTGTTGCATATTTTTATTACATTGATCAATTTTTTACTTTTTCTATCTACTTTAATTTGCATAATAAAAGGATTTTAGTTAAATGGGTTCAAGCAACCAGTTATATTAAAGCCAGCAGTTGTAACTGTATGGAAAATTCAGTGCAACACTACATTGATTTCCCCCCCCCCCACCAAAAATATTAGATTTCTATCGATAGAAGTATTGACTTAAAAAAACCTACTTCACAACAGTAGGTTGTAAAGTTAGTATTAATTAATTTTGCAAAGAAGAACAAAGGTACCCTTTGACACAGAAAATTATAGGAAGAAGAGGAGCGGTGCCTTCATGTAAATCAGGGTAGTTGGAACAAGTTTTAGCTTCAGAAAGGCCAAGGCTGAAGAAGGCAGAAGTTTTTAATTCAGTGACGCTGAATATGTACAAGGATGAATGATACACAAGTAAATAGGAGGTCTATATGAATGCAAAATGTCATGCTGGCATGAAATACAGTAGTAAAGTCCAGTCTTAATATAAACCTAGTTTAACTCTGACCTGCATCTGTCTCAAAACAAGGGGTGGGAAAACAGAAAAATGGGACCTAATTCAGATGAAAATATTCTGTGTGGCAATGCGTCACTGGTTCTTTTCAATCTTTTAGCATGAGTTCTTGTAATAAATGTCTCATTTTAGCCTAAGGTCAATGTCTTTGTTCTGTAGTGCATGTGCTATTAGAGTGGAAATGTGGAGAAACCTAATTGGTTTTTCCATTTCAACAGAATAAAAATCAAGAGGGAATACTACTTGGGAAGTAAATGTATATTAAGTGCACTTGTTGGAAACTTGTGTATTTGTTCTGTAAAACTATTTTGAGTACTGATAGCACAGGTAGTGTTTGGCATGTGTAATTTGTAGGGTGCAAATTATATATAAAATATTGTTTGATCTTGTGGAGTTCTGAGTATATTCTTACAATTATGTTTTTTAATACCTGTGCCTCTTCATTCCAAAGTCAAAAACTGCTTTTCAGAAGTGTCTTTCTGAGCTCA